ATGATATCTCCTGTGGACCAGGGTGGTCTCCGGTTGGGGGTTGGTTAGGAGCGGATGAGCTTGCTGGAAGTTGTCCTAAACGTGTGTTAACCATGGCTTTTGGTAGCACTTCCCACAGATGGCGCCAATGATGCTACCAAAATTCGTACCTGAATTGACGTGGACAGGATGGTTGAACTCCGCACGCTATGATCTTCAATACCTGAAATAAAGGCGTCGAGGTGTGTTCTCGTCGACCATCGGATGCTTAAGTCAGAGAGAGGAATTACAAAATATATGCTGGAATATTATCGAAAAATACGTACTTGAATAATGAGAAGAGGGATACATATTTAAAGGGATTGGTAGCCGAGCCCTAGACGGACTAATATTCCCGTATGGGAAATGTTTGTGTTGTGCTAGGATTGTGTTAACTGAGTTAGGGTGAAACTTAAGGCAACTGAAGAGTCAATGTTCAAATTGAACTAGTATTCTAGGGGTACGTGAGGACACGTGATTTAAGGGACGAGGTTGCGCATGATTATAGGCCCGACCTATAATGCTCGAACCTGAAAGCTATTATCCAGAAATAATGGAATGAGGACGGGCCAAATGGGTCAAGCAGTATGGGCCCGACCTTAAAACCCTGACCTTAACTGTGGACTGGAGCTCAGAAAGACTGGGCCAAGGTCGAGATTGGGTTTATCATCATCAATTGTGATTATTATTATTGAATTTTTCTTAAACTTCAAGTCTATCTTAGTGCTCTCATTAAAAAGAAATATTTTGAAATAAAAGTTGGTGATAGCTACCAAAGTACCTACCAAAGTGGTACACTAATTTTTCCTTTTTTGGTGTTCTTAAAAAAATAAATAAATAAATAAATAATTGACGTTAGTATCGTAATTTTGAATTATTACATATCGTATCTTGCCCAAATGTATTATTATATGTGATATTTTTTGGAAATTGGCATAAGATAGTTAACGAGTTTATTTGCCATAAGGTGTTGGTGTTTCAAAAATCAATATGTTTTGTTAACTAACTTGATCGTGTGTTTTAAGAGTATCTTGTAATGTATTATATTGTTAGCCCAAATGTGATTTTATAATAATGCATCTAGGATCTTATCGTAATAATGTTCATTTCGTTTTGACTTAAGGGCAAAGGCGCCAAACTAGTTGGTGGGGCCAGGTTGAGTGAGCTGTGGGCTAAGATGGGTCCAGCTCGGAACAACCTGCCTCACGGGCCAGGCTGCTATTCAGGATTTTACGACAGTCTGGGCAAACTTGGGCTAAGCCCTTTTCTACACTACTAAGCTTGAAAGCCATTTGTACAATTATAATAGAGAGGGGACTTCTGTTGCAATTTTTTCAAATAAAAGTATTCTAAATTATTTCACTTAATTGATCAAAATAGGAATAGGTTTTTTTTTTTTTTGATTAATTTCTAATAAATTTTAAAAATTGTCTATAATTATAATGACTTCATTTGAAGAAATTCCGGTAATAAAGTCTTTAGTTTAATTCTACTCAAAACGTTGTTTTATGTCAGTTATTAAGCATTTATTTGGTGTAGATTTTAAATACAATTTTCTAATAGATTTTAATGAAAGTTGATGATATGTATAATTGAAAAATTGCGAATCCCTTAAAAGTGCGATTAAAATTAATTGTTGACTTTAATTTGAAATTTTTATCAAATTTTAATCCATATCAAATAAGAGCTAATTTTTTTCTATTTTATTTCAACCAATAAACTTTAGTTAATATTTGATATAAATTCTTTAAAACTCATTTTCTCTTAAATTTATTTTCAACCTCATATTTTCGAAATAAAATAATTTTGTATGTGAACATATAATCTTTTCCTACTTTTAATCACGTATTCATTAAAATTATCGTTTTTTACAAAATCTATTCCCTCTATTTCTTAGTTCAAAAAAATATCATTTTTTCACCCACTTGAATCATATCTTGACAAGGAAGCCATTTTTTTCCACCCACTTGAATCACGTCTTGACAAGAAGACGATTGGTTCTTTCCCAAATTGAATTTTCGCGTAAAGAAAAATTGATGGCCGACACAAACAATAGACTTCACTTAACAAACTCAAAACAACATGCAGCAATTGGAGTGGACAAATGTCGACATCATTGTACTAACTTTCCGATTGCTGTTTCCAAATCACGTGATTAGTTTTCCTTGATTAAAACGTGTAAAACGTGGTTTTTAAAGCATGAAACACGAGGATAATAATGTATTAGGTCATGTCGTTTTGACAGAAAGTGGTTGACATATGGAATGACATAATGTTAGTTAACAAGATGTAATTGAATGAAAAAACTGACCGTGTTCCAAACAATCCAATAATGAAGTGTCAACGACATTATATCAACCATTGTATCAAGAATTATGTCATTGTAGCATGATTTGAACGAATTATATATCATATCTATGTGCATTAGACACTAGCAATTTTGACGGTTTCTAGATGGAAAATGTTTTTATACATGTCCCCTGTCCCAATAATCACACAAAATCGATATTTCTCTTCACAAAGTTGATCATTTAAAATGAAACTCTAAGGGTTCGTTTGATTGTAAAAGTAGAATTTGGATGAAAATAAAATGAATTACAGGGAATTGAATTGCCTAGAATTTTTTCCTTTAAATTGTCAATTAATTGTGTTTGATTGATATAATTTTTCACCTGAAAAATGCTGAAATTTTGAATCTTTAGTGGGAAATGAGATTTCAATTCTATTTTCCATGTTTGATTGATATAATTTTTCACCTGAAAAATGCTGAAATTTTGAATCTTTAGTGGGAAATGAGATTTCAATTCTATTTTCCATGTTTGATTGATATAATTTTTCACCTGAAAAATGCTGAAATTTTGAATCTTTAGTGGGAAATGAGATTTCAATTCTATTTTCCATGTTTGATTGATATAATTTTTCACCTGAAAAATGCTGAAATTTTGAATCTTTAGTGGGAAATGAGATTTCAATTCTATTTTCCATGTTTGATTGATATAATTTTTCACCTGAAAAATGCTGAAATTTTGAATCTTTAGTGGGAAATGAGATTTCAATTCTATTTTCCATGATTGATTGATATAATTTTTCACCTGAAAAATGCTGAAATTTTGAATCTTTAGTGGGAAATGAGATTTCAATTCTATTTTCCATGTTTGATTGATATAATTTTTCACCTGAAAAATGCTGAAATTTTGAATCTTTAGTGGGAAATGAGATTTCAATTCTATTTTCCATGATTGATTGATATAATTTTTCACCTGAAAAATGCTGAAATTTTGAATCTTTAGTGGGAAATGAGATTTCAATTCTATTTTCCATGTTTGATTGATATAATTTTTCACCTGAAAAATGCTGAAATTTTGAATCTTTAGTGGGAAATGAGATTTCAATTCTATTTTCCATGATTGATTGATATAATTTTTCACCTGAAAAATGCTGAAATTTTGAATCTTTAGTGGGAAATGAGATTTCAATTCTATTTTCCATGAAAAAAAGACCTATCAAACAGGCTATAAGACACATATCAAAGTTGACCTTTAGTAGCACGTCTTCAACTTATGATTATCATAGCAAATAGGTTCTAAACTTTTATATTTAGGTAATCAGCTTTCGACTTTTTAAACATAAAATATATTGATTCTCAAATAGGTGGTTTCGAAGTCAATAAACCTTCTCAAAAGTCTTTGTAATATATTTATTTGTTCACAGTATTCTCATATCATTGAGAAATTAAAGTCCTAAGTGAACCCTCATGAAACTTAGAAGTGAAAAAAATAGGAAAAAATGTTCATATCCACAATTAGAATATGAAATTTAGCCCTTGTTGTAAACTCAAAACGTTCTCTTATTTTTTAACTACATATTCTCTATCAAAGTATTGTTTCAAAATGAATTTTGGGCAAGAAATGGGAATCAAACACGCTGGTAATATATCTACATTTTTTTTTTTTTTTAATTTCAATCTTCTTGTTGCGTGTTGACAAGTGTATCGTCAAATATCTAGATGGACGACTAAACGTTACAATAATCGCCTAACGAGCCAGGAACAATTTCATATAAAAAAGAAATATGGTACATGTCACGTGTTGTCCCTTTTTAAATGAAGCCATCAAAGTGAAGTCACAATCACCAGCCCATACTAATCTGGTTTAATTTGGAGATAAAAACAGTGTGAACTTGGCCTAAGAATTGTTTGTCGACATCTCCCTCTACTTCGCTTTCACATTATTGTCTCTCCGCGTTCAACTCGGCAACTTGTGGCCAGCTCTTGCTTAACCCAAGAAAATAACATGTTGGCTAATGGGTTAAAAACTCGGATGCTCACAAAACCTTCAAAATGTGTCATTTTAATTTTCCAACTTGCAATCGAATTATTATAAAAATAACTTTTTAATTTCAGGGAAAAAAAAATTTTAACTTATCAAACGGGTCTATTTCCATTTTGGCTTTTGCTAAATTCTACACGGCAAATTTACGTGGGAAATTTATTTAGCCCTTGTTTGACAACTATTTTTTTGTGAAGAATAAGTTTTTGAACAGTAATTTTTTTGAAGAATGCGTGATTAAAAAGTAAGAAAAGTTTGAGATTTACATGAAGAATATTTTATTATGAAAATGTATTGTTGAAAATGAGTATGGAAAAAAAGTTTCCAAAAATAGTTACCAAACGTGGGCTTATTTAGCGCATGCGTAATTCATGGCTAATTGTCTTTGGGGCCTATGCTTACAGCTTACTAATTACTAGTTGTCAACCGTAAGCAAATCACAATCACCTGTGTGTTCTGAGTGCTATCCGTGGAAAAAATCTGCTTGAGGAGCCCACAATTCACTTCATGAAAAATAAATAAAAAATCAACTGTTTCTTCCACTCCCAACATTATAAAATCAAACCCCCAATACCATTAATCTCATTGCCCTCGATTGTTCTCTCTCTAAAACATTCATCTTTCTCTCTCTAAAATATTTGGTATTCTATGGCCATGGATTTTGAGGTTTCGTCCTGGTTTCAATCAGTTCTCGGTTTCTTGTTCTTCGCTTTGACGACTTCTTTTTTCGTTGCATCTATTATGGTTTTTGTTTTAAGATTGAAACCATGTTGCAAATGTGAAACCTGCCAGACTTTTCTTACTTCGAGTTGGTTAAGGAAATTCAGTAACCTCTGTGATTGGTATTCTCATCTTCTGCAAAATTCTTCCACCGGAACAATTCATGTTCATGTACTAGGTAACATAATCACAGCCAACCCTGAAAACGTTGAATACATTCTGAAAACACGCTTTCAGAATTACCCAAAGGGGAAGCATTTTTCTGCTATTTTGGGTGATCTTTTGGGAAGAGGGATATTCAACGTTGACGATGATTTATGGAAGTTTCAAAGGAAAATGGCGACTTTAGAACTTGGGAGTCTTTCTGTAAGATCATACGCTTTTGATATCGTTTCTTCAGAGATTCGGTGTAGGCTGATTCCTCTATTATCTTCTGTTGCTGGTAAAGACAATGGTGTTCTTGATTTGCAAGACGTGTTGCGAAGATTTTCATTTGATAGTATATGCAGATTTTCATTTGGTTTGGATCCTGGTTGCCTTAACTTATCACTGCCCATTTCGAAATTTGCTGAGGCATTTGATCTTGCATCAAAGTTATCTGCAGAAAGAGCAATTACAGCAACTCCTTTCGTCTGGAAACTCAAAAGGTACGTATATACAGTAAACAAGATTTTAACTTTTTTCTTCTTTAAATATTGTCTCGTACAGTTTGTCTAATCCAACGTGCCAAACAGGTTTTTCGGATTTGGAACGGAGAAGCAACTCAAAGAAGCGATAAAATTAGTCGATGTTCTGGCCATGGAGGTCATAAAGCACAAAAGAGACATGGGTTCCAATCAAGAAGACCTTTTGTCAAGATTCATGAGCACCGTTGATGATGACAAGTTCCTAAGAGACATTGTAATAAGCTTTCTTTTAGCAGGCCGCGACACAGTGGCTTCGGCCCTAACAACTTTTTTTTGGTTGTTGTCAAGTCATCCAGACTGCTTGGAGAATATTCGAGGAGAATCAGACCGTGTCATGGGACGAACCCAAGACCTCCCGAACTTCGAGCAACTAAAAAAAATGCCCTATTTACAAGCAGCAGTTCATGAGAGTATGAGGCTATATCCACCAGTGCAATTTGATTCAAAATTCTGTCAGGAAAATGATATTCTCCCTGATGGGACATTTGTTGCCAAAGGCACTAGGGTTACCTACCACCCATATGCAATGGGCAGAAATGAAAGAATTTGGGGTTCAGATTGTCTTGAATTTAAGCCAGAAAGGTGGTTACAAAATGGGGTTTTCAAGCAGGCTAATCCCTTTAAGTACCCAGTCTTTCAGGCTGGACCAAGAGTTTGTTTGGGCAAAGAAATGGCACTTGTGGAGATGAAATGTGTTGCTTTGTCTTTGATTAGAAAGTTTGATTTCCACATGGCAACGCCGAGTCAGCAGCCGAAGTTCATGCCAGGTCTCACTGCTACAGTCCGAGGTGGTCTACAAGTTCTAATTCAAGAGAGAGGGTCCCAACCGTGAGTCAAGACTACCCGTTGTGTATGTTTCAGACACTAATCGATGTGAGTTCAAGATCAGATAACAAATAGGCGATTTGATTGATGGATCAAGACTTTATCCCTATCATCAAAAGGCAAGGGACGAAAGTGCCCGACGAACACTGCCCTATTAAGGTTTGAATTACCGACATCAAGATTTTCGGTCAATGATCCCCGATTTATTCAAGAAAAGCAAGAGCCTTGTACAATGATTATGGCACTGGCCATCGAGATGACCTGGGCAAATTCATAAGGGTCTTGCCATGTATGTGTACAACCTTTCTCACAATAGGGGATGCAAGATTTTTGTATTAGAAGTGGGCCCCTTATTGTGATGGGGTGTCAACCGCAGTGTACAAATAGCAAATCTCAATTCATAATCCGAGCTCACTTTGAAAGAGTACAATCGACGATTTCTTGAGCCAAAAACTTTTGACGAATGATATGACTATGTTGATTCCATCAACAAATAACCATAAATTAAGTCATAATTTTTAAAATATTACAGGTTCAAGTGATAGTACTGTACTACAAACCTCTGTACTGCCAAGATTGGAATCGTTGTTACATTTTATGATACAATTTCTTAAAGATTTGAAGTATTTCTTAGCATATTTATTGTACTCAGAAGTATAATAATCCACGGGTTGCCAAATGAACCGCCGCAGTTTATTGCCAATACCATTTGCTTCAACGTTTATTTGTAAATACTAAATAATGAGCGAGGATTATTTAACAAAGTTCTCTCTCTCTTTACAGCAAATATGTAATTTCTAGTAAGGTTGGCAAAATAATATTTAGGATATAAAATAAATTTAAATATTTTACTATTAATTCATGATTGAAAGTAATTGAATTTTCAAGATTAAATAATTAGCATTTGAAATTCCTTTGCTAGTTCATATTCCATATTAAGCCACCGTTCGATTCCACTGAAATGGATTAAAATTCAATACTTAATATTAATTACATATCTTATGAAATTCACAATTTTTCAATCACACGTTCCATTAAATTTTATTTTTATCCAAATCAAAGGTTAAATTTCTTATTGATTAATTTGTCATAGTTTTGACCAAAGAAATAAATAATCAAAACGAGCACCTTTGATTGTAGAACCGTGCTATAGGTACAAGAATTTGACAAGATATAATGCACACAGCAGTGGGTGGGATGAGGGGTTTTTGCCAATATTTAATCACATGAGGCACACTCCCATATGAGTGAAAATCAAAATTCTGTATCAATTCTGTGCATTATTCCATTTACTCACAGCGTTATTCTTGATGGTAAGCAGTGGCCCCCACTGGCATTTAGGAAAAATTCTAATGAATGGCCCTGGAGTTAAGAACCGCAGGTGGGGTTGGCGCTCAAAATGAGGTATTGGACAAAAATATTACTCAGATTCATTTTTATTTTTTTTTAAAAAAAATTATTTTCAATCACATATGTCATAAAATTTATAATTTTTATCAATATTTAATCAAAATATACTAAAAAACTAATTTTTATCCAAACCAAACAGGGTCTTAGACTCATAGAAATCATCTTTCCTAGGCAAAGCCCCAATTTCTTCTAAATTTAAATTATTTAACAAATTCTTTTATTTATTTAACTATTTATACATGTAATTCGACTTGTTTAAGCCTTAAAAACTTTAAGTTTTTCATTCAATACCAATACAAGTTTATAAACATTGGTGCCTTTGTTAGATTTTGAACGACGACGATCTACGAAGTTTTTGCCATTTGTTAATCAAAGCTAAAATTTGATACAAGAAAACTGCTAAATTTAGAATTCTTTTTTCTGAAATTTACTACTGATGATGCATAATAAGTCTAGACATGATTTGGTTTGGGTCACTTTCGACTCCAACTCGAAACCAAAACCAAATTAGTCGATTTTGGTGAATTTCAACCCAAATCAACACAATCTAAGCCAAATCGAATCAAACCAAATCGGTTCGTCAGTTTGGACTTTTAGTTTAAATTGAATTTTTTTTTAAAAAAAAAATTTGTCCGAATTTTGGATCCACTTAAATTACAAGAACTAAAATAATTAAGAGTGCATTTGATAGCGAACATGGAAAAAAAATAAATTCTAGAAAATTCAATTGCGTAGAATTCATTTGTATGAAAATTATTAATTAAATATGTTTGATTGATTAGTTTTCAACTTAAAAAATATTATACTTGTCATTTTTTTATTGGTGGATAGATGAGAGAGATGATATAGATAAGAGAGAGTGAATTCCCTGGAGAATAAAATTATACTCCCACTTAAGAAAATATTTTCCTTGATTTTGAGAAAATATAATTACGTGATCAAAAGTATGAAAATATTTTCCCTAAAAAAAAGTCAATCGAACAGCACAAAAATAGAAATTTGGGTGAAAAACACATTTTTCATGCAAAATATTGACAATCAAATACACCATAAATAACTTTATATAACAAGAACTATTGGCTAATGAATAAAATCAGTGATAATAAAGACATGTCAACTGAAAACATAAGAATTTTGTTTTTTTTATGCATTATGGTAACTTGACTGCTTGAGTAAAGAAAAAATTGTTAAGTATAGCATTTAGCTTGTGAAAGGAAATTCTGAGTCCTATTACTGATTGGCAACATTATAGATTGAATGGAATTGAAATATAGTTATGAGATTAAAACTTATCTTTTTATTTCTTTTTTTTTTTTAAAAAGTAAATGTGTAAGTGGGTTGAATCAATTCAGTTAAATAGCGGTTTGAGGTTTTAAATCATTGTTGAATTGACCCAATATGATTTTGTTTTAAAAAAAATCAAATACCAATTACCTGGGTCAGACCGACCCGAGCCGACTTGGTTTGATTATTTTTTGCCATGTCTAGATTCATTGAAGTTTTACATGCCCAGACTTCATACCTCCTCTTAACTAACTATTATATAATTATAGTCGACTCTGTCCCAAATAAATTACATTCTTGATTGCACCCTGCTTCTAAGTTACTTTTGGGATCTACTTTTAAAAAAACGTAAGTTTTGTAAATATAGAATGTAAATTTTCATGTTCAATAAAACGAATAACTTAAAAGACAAGGTTAGTTTACTTTCACGTAAGTTAATGATTTTCTAGAAGAGAAAATGTTGATCCCAAAAATGTATCTTCAATGTGGCCAATAGATTTCAAAACCACTCACGTCCACGCAAGTTCAATTCCTACACACTTGGACAAACCGTTAGTCACACGTGACTTCCTTCGGTGGGGATGGAGTTGGCCACGCCCACTCCAACGATCAAACCAATTGAGGAAGTAAATATTTAAGTGTGGAAGAGTTTTGAAAGTGAGCATCCAATATAAAAAGGGGGTTAGTTCTAGAGAATAATGGATAAAATAGTTATAGGGCAAAATTATAACTCGAGAGTTTAAATTTGCATTACCCTCAAAATGACATGTCAGCTTTTATAATAGAAAATAATGAGTAAGTCATTGGATGAAGAGACACATGCATCATCCTTGCGATTGGAGCCTCTTGTCATACATATCAATCAATCATAAGCTTTAAATACTAGTATCACTTTAGCATCCATGATGCCTAATTTTCGACTTTGGACTTGACCAAATAGGCTGACAGTGGCGGCGATGATATTAAATTGTCACATCAATCACATATAAAAAGATTGCTTGGGAGATTTTGTGTTGAGCTCTTTTTGTGGCCAAGCCTCTACTTACGGACTAGCTCTTCCTCATAGGCGATCAGTGTGATTTGGTGGGGTCGGCAAGTATATTAGTTTAGCCACAGGAAGGGGTTCGATTAGATCATTTTCGTGTTAATATATTCTAGTGCGGTGTAGGGTTTTATCTTTGCTCATCACGTTAGATATTTGGAACCTTGTGAATCATGCGTAATAGAAAATATTTTAAAGATTTAAGTACAATTTAAAAAGTTAATGGCACATGATGATGAACATGGGTGGCGCACATACATGGGGAAGAAATATGCACCGTAAACAATTATTATTAATATTAATAAATAATATTTTCAAGTTGAGCATTATGGGAATTGTGACCGAACTATAATGATTATAGTGAATATGTCGGTTGATGTCGCGTAAATGTCACATTTATTATATTTTACAAGAATATTAATTCAATTATTGTAAGATATAATGAGAATTGTACTAAAGTTAGAATAGATTCGAAACGAATATGTAGGTGAATGATATGTAAATGTCAAGTTTATTATATTATTAAAGCATGTTTATTCGAGCGTTGTAAAATAAGTAATTGATATAATGATAAATTAGAATAGATTCGAAATGAACGGTCAATACATGTCATGCTCAATGTTATATACTTTATTAAAAGCTTTTAGTTGAACTTTACAAGATAACATATGCGAGTGGTGACAAATTAGAATAGATTTCAAATAAACTATCGTCGCTAATAAATAATAATCAGGATGTGTTTGATGGATATTATTGAGAAAATAGCGTTTTTTAAATAGTGCTATGATGGAAAATATGTGATGTAAAATATATTTTATTGCAAAATGTGTGGTTGAAAATGAATTTTGAAAAAAATATATTTTTAAACAATGTGCGTCAAACAGGAGCTCAATGTGAAGTGATGACAACATAGATTCAAAATGAATGGTCGGTGAATTTTATTTAAATGTAATACTATATTAAGAACTTTTATAGAATTACATTACAATCAATGTGAACAGAAACAAGTTAGAATAGATTCTTCTAATCAAATATTACACTATTATCAACTTGGATAGTGACGAATTACTATATTATCAACTTTTAAATTTTTTTTATGGTAATTTAGACTTATGAAATTGTTTTCCTGCCTATTTGTGGCAGAATAACTTTACTTACGATTCTCTCCAAATGTGATAATCGAGTACAGTTATCTTAAAATGAGCAAGATAAAACTTTCAACCGTGAGTGGGAAAACATTTCTATTTAGACAAACCCATCTGAAATAAAAT